AGGAGGAGGAGGAGGAGGAGGAGGAGGAGGAGGACCAGGAGGTAGGGGGATAAGGAGGGAATCTGGATGAAGATACAAGGAAGATCAATCATCATACTAATCATGATGATCACACTCCGATTAAGAAGAATAGCACAATTCAAACATATCAGTAAAATTCTAGACGCTTCGCGTATCCCCACCAGCCCGTCCAGAAACGACGCCCAGGCGAGTAGAGGGTCGTCCTGAGGGGCTTTTCGGCGTCTTGGGTGCCTCGGGGGGGCCTCTGTGGGCCGTTCGGGATCCTCTTTGGGGCCTCCTGGGGGCCTCTTGGGGCCTCTTGGGGCCATCTTGGGGCCTCTGGGAGCACCTTGGGTGCCCCTGGGGGGTCTCTTGGGGCCTCTTGGGGGTCTCTTGGGGGCCTCCTGGGGGCCTCTTGGGGGGCCTCTGGGGCCATCTTGGGGCCATCCTGCGGCCTCTTGGGGCATCCTGGGGGCCTCTTGCGGCCATCGTGGAGGAAATCGATCAAAGAAGAGGGGAGCTTTAATTAGCGTTGCCCCCCCAGAAGGCCAAAATGGGGCCCAAACCATAGTAAAATCAATGATTTTGGCTTCCTCGCCGAGGCCGTTTTGGACGCTCTGACCGCTCCCCGCCCCTCCTGTCCAGGTCAGTGGAGAGGGGGTACAGGGGTAAACCCCTCCCCGAAGGGGAAGAAGGAGGGGTGGAAGAGGAAACGCTCTAAACCACCGACGCCCAGGGGGCTGGTGGGACTAATCAGAAGATGGAAAAAAACGTAAGGAGGAGGAGGAGGACGAGGACGAGGACGAGGATGCGGCGGATGTGGACGACGATGCGGCGGAGGAGGAGGGAAGAAGGGGGAGGAGCAGGAGGGGCAGGGTGGAGGATTAGCAGGAGCAGGAGGGGCACGGAGGATGATGATGACGAGGCAAGGGCGGAGGGGGGAAGGCCAAACCCCTGCAGCTGCGGAGCTGCGCAATCATGTTGTCGGGGGAGGAGGAGGAGGAGGAGGAGGAGGAGGAGGAGGAGGAGGAGGAGGAGGAGGAGGAGGAGGAGGAGGAGGGAGGAGGAGGAGGTCGATGAGGAAGACGACCTCGACGCATGCGATGACGTCTAATGATAACGTCGGTGGCCCTGACGGTGACGATTGCAGTGTTGACGAGGTCGACGGCGATTTGCTCAAGGAAGGGCGCACCCCCGTCAGTGGCGGGGCATATCGTGCAGGGGCGACCAACACTCGAGAAGGTCGGAGGGGGGAGGGAAAGAGGATGGTGAGGAGAGGAAATGGGAAGCACGATGCGCGGCGAGGGTCGTGGGGGTCGTGGTCGTGAGCAGTGCGTGCGGCGGCATGGCGGCGTGCCGCGCGGGGCGCAAATTCCATCAATCCAAATTCCTGGCTACTCGCTGTCGAGTTCAGCAGTTCAGCCCGGGCGCTAGCACACAGAGACATAGCCTCATGCAGTTTGGGGACATAGCCTTTAGACCGGCGCGAGCGGAAAAGGGAGCGGCGAGCCCGTTCTGACGCCCCTCGCCGCCCCGACCGCTCCTTCACCCTCCTCCTCCGCGTCGGCACCTGGACCCCATCCCGCAGCGCGGCCTGACCAGGATCTCGAGGCGGATCCGGCCGCAGCGACCAGGCCCCCGCACCCCCCCGCAGGAGGGCCCCCCGAGCAGTGAGAGCCCGTCGGGCGGGCGGGTGGCCTTAAGCGGGAGCACCCGGGGGGGCGCAGGGAGGGTGCACTTCTCCGGCATCTCTGCCGGCCGCGTTGGCCCCTTCCAGGGCCTCTCGAGGCCCCCTCTCCTGCAAGCCTCCGCCGCCTCCCCGGTTGGCACTCACCCATTTTCCCTCCCCTTCCACCCCTCTCTCCTTGTGAGCAGCGCCTCCCCGTCGTACCCCCAGACGTGTCGGTTTGGCGGGTCGGGCGTTCGCTCGAGACTTCCGCAATTCTTGTGCTGCCGAGGGGTGAAATTTGCTACAGGATGGAGGGGGGCCGTTTTCAAAGTGTGGCTCAGCGCCGCACACCCTCGTCTAAAATATCTGCAGCAACTTCAATGGCATAGGGGGGCGAGGCCAAAATGTGGCTCTCGCCATAAAAACGCCGCGCACATTCGTCTTAACAGTTTGCAGCAGCTTCAAGGATAGAGGGAGGCCGTTTTCAAAGTGGGGCTATTGCCTTAGCGCCGCGTGCATTCGTCTGAAAAGGTTGCAACTGCTTCAAGGATAGAGGGGGGGCGTCTTTAGCGCCGAGCGCATTCGTCTGAAAAGTTTGCAACTGCTTCAAGGATGGAGGAGGGCGTTTTCAAAATGGAGCTCTCGCCCTAGCGCCGCGCGCATTTGTTTGAAGCATGTGTAGTAATTTCTAGGATGAAGTGCGATTCCTTTTCAAAATGAGGCTCTCGCCTTAGCGCCGCGCGTACTCCCATTAAATGTTCGCAGGAGGTTTTATGGATGACAGCTCCATTTCCTTAGCGCCGTGCGCATTCATTGTAAAAGCTCGAAACA